AACAAATTCCTTGTTTATAAAGTCTTTGGAGGCGCCAGAGTCGATAAGTATCATAGCTTCCTTATTATCTATTTTGCTTTTTGCTCTCAAAAGTCCTTTTCTATTTGGTTGATTACATAATTCAACTATACTAACTTGTTTGATATTTTTATTAGATGCCTGGATTGTTCCATAATTTGTTTCTGAATTTGTCATTGGTTTGTTAGGACAATTTTTTGCCAGATGACCTTTTTGGCCACATTGAAAACACAACTCTTTTTATCTTAATTCCGCTTTTGTGGAATTATTTATGGTTTTAAAGGTTCCCTTTTTGTACTTTCTGTATTTTGATGTCTTGACTTTATCAAGTTCCATTGGTTTTGATTCTGTTATTCTCGGTCCTTCTCTCTTTTGTGTATTGGTTTGCATATCACTTATTATTACTTACCAACTTTATTAACTTGCTGAAGGTCCATAAAAAACCGTAATGTTGAATCATTTTGCAACAACTTTTCTTCCATTAATTTCAGATTCTGCTGTTGAAGCATATTTTGGAGATTTAAAGTTTTTATATCTGACTCCTGACGTTTATATTCTGATAACAAAGTTTCATACTCCAAGGACGGTTTTACTATGGATGATTGTTTTAACTTATTGAATGATAAACCCGTCTTTTCGGTATTGGACAAACTTGAATCTTCAATTAATAAGTCTTGCTTGTCCAAGACCATTAAATTTTGGGATGACTTATTCATATTATCCATACTTGAGTTAAAGGATTTGATATTTTCAAGTTCCTGCTTCAGTTTTTGATTTTCCGCGATCACAATTTTAGTCGATCTTTCTAATTCTTCAATTACTTTACTATCATTTTGACGAATAATTTCATATTTCCTCTTTGATTCTTCTAATTCTAAACTATGTTGAATGTCCTTTTCACTATGACATTTACAAAGTTCTTGCAATTGTTGAATAGTTTGCTGATAAAACAAGTATTGAAAACGAATGTTGTCATATTCTTTAGTTTTCTGCTGAAGTTGTTGTTTGATTTGTTCATTCTCTTTGGACAAACTAATTGCTTTTTCTTGTTGTAATTGCCAGTTCCTTTTGATTTGGGACATTGTTTTTTGGAGTCGGTCACGTTCTTCGCACATAATTGCAATAGTATCGGTTTTATTTTGGAGCTCCTTCATCAAAAGCATGGGATCCTAATAAAATATATAATGTTAATAAAAAAAAGTTTATTACAATTAACATTATTAATATTTACTTTGAGTAATAGATCTGAATTTAAATCAGATGATGCAGAAGTGCATTCAGTATCATTGCTTGCCAAAGATGAAAAAGTCTGCAAAGATTCATAAGATATTTGCGGTTGACAATGAGAAGGCAGATTTGGAAGCATTTTTTTATTATTTAAATCATTGTCAGTTTGTTCCGTTGATACCGAAGATTGAGTTGGTATACATTGAGAACTTAATGGAGTCTGTGAAATGCAAGATTCTATTTCGAAAGAGTCAGTTTGTTGAGCAAAAGATTCTTGGTAAGAACAATTATTATCCTTATCAGATGTGAATTCTTTACTA